GAGGATTATGTATGTGTGTGTTAGAGAAAGGTAGTTTTTGTAATTAATACATAAATTACAAAGAATATCATAGTCAACTTTTTTTTTTGTTATCTACCTAATTTATAAATTTTTGATGGTTATTACATATATCACGAAAAAAAGAGAACAAGAGGCGATAGAATAAATGTTGATTTTTTAATTAAAAAAAAGTACATAAAGCAAATGAAACAAAAAAGGATAATTTGGTAAAAAAAATGAAAAAAATACAAGAAAAAGTGGTCAAATAGTGAGAAGTGCCAATATGAGATATTATTTTTGAAAAAAGTTTCTATAATAGTAATCAACCATGTCCTTGTACCTTGTCTTTGTTTGAGGTGGTTTTTGGGGCTGTCAATTTTAAGGGTGACTCTTTTCATGAAGAAGGTGTTCTTGAGGTCTCTTATACTCGCCTTGCTGCTTTGCTTCCTATTTTTCCGTTGTGTATATTTTTTCTATTGGCTTTATGCATACCAACGCCATGCCTCTGAGTTATGGGTTGTGTATCAATATGAAGAATCTTGGGATTGGATTGGGAGCTCTTCTGGCTCGTGGATGTTCTCTTCTTCCTAATTTAACATGGGCTCTTGTCACTTTTATTTGGATCAATTTGGACTTGAGGTTTAGTGACTTTGCCTTGAATGTGTGTACAACTCCTTCTCACCTCTTTCGATGCCGTCTTAGCAGGGGTTCTAAGTTCTGGGGGTTTATTGGAAGGAAGACTCTTAGTTTTGTCAAAGTAGGAGTTGGTTTGCTTGGACCATTTAATTTGGTTTAGTTTGGTTCTCTAGTTATACCTAAGTCTTTTGGTTTTTAGGATTCGTCTTTTGGTCTTTAGGATCCCGGTTTGGATCCTCCACCGTATTCCATCTACGTATTTTATCTTTGTATTCCCAAATCGTATCCTAATTTTGTATTCTACGATGTTTAATATAATATTTCAGATGAAAAGAAAAAAAAGACGTAATCAACCCTATTTTTGATTTTTATATTTTGGTGAATTTCTCATTTAATTTCATCGCACACATTGGATTAAACCGAAAGGTCCGAAAATAGGGCCACTAATAAAAATCCAGCCCAAATTTCAATATTACCGTTCTGATTTTCTTTTCTTTTTACCTTTTAGGATTTGGTGGACGAGTTATATAAAAAACCATCGACGAGTTTGCGAAC